CGTCAGTCCGTGGCTAGTTGGCCTGCTGCCTTTAGGCCTGTGGTGAGGCAGCCTATCATAGTGGTAGCATGTGGCAGAGCAAACCTCCTTACCTCATGGCAGCCAGGAAGCAAAGAAAAACCAAAAGGAGAGGCAGGATCCCAATATCTCCTTGGAAAGCTCAGCACCAATGACCTAGACCCTGCCTCTTAAAGAAGCCACTACCTCTCAGGAGTGTAACAGACTCACAGGCCCTTGAGGTCATCTCATATCCAAACCAGAGTGCACACATGGTTCCCAGGTTCTCCCAGATCCTGAGAACACAGTAGTGAAAACCTAGACTCTTTGCCTACGCTAACGGAACAGAGTTCAGCCCTGTGTGCAAGGCTGTTTCCTGTCACCTGCCCCTTCTAGACTGGGAACTGCATGAGGGCAGGTATAGGGTGCGAGTCTTGTTCATCTCTGAGGCCCAAGTCTATGAGCACCAGGCATATGTGCTGCATGTTCCCATGATCTGGGTGATACATTGCTAAACGAGTTCCTCTACTTTACAGATAAAAAATGAGACAGACAGAAACTTAACACAGACCTTGCACCCAGTAAAATGGGATCAGTGTTGGGATGAAAATCCAGCGACTTGCACTCCACTTTAAGGTCCTGATCACTTGAGTGCTCTTTCTCTGGCTGTGGCAAATTCATGTGGTTTAGCAAAACAACTGACCCCCTGGCTCCTCTGCCTTCCTGCAGCCAAATGCAACAAAAAGTAGCAGATTTGAGTCCAGCCTCTCTTTCCAGTTCAAATCTTTTCTCTTCCACTATGAATTTCAAAAGACTTCAAACAATGTCTTTTTACATTTTAAATATTCTAGAAATCTTCATGTGAAATCCTACCAGTAGTGAGTGACACCTTACAGAAAAATAAGCCTGAGTGTCAGCCCATGATAATTTCGGGTCCTCAAGACCATTTCACTGAGGTCAGGTTGACCACAGCCATGAGCCCACTGGTATATCTTGGTCTCCGCCACTTGAAAATCTCTTTTCTAGGAGGGGAAGAGGGGTTGCAGGGAGGGGAGGGGAATGGGAAAAAAGAAATCAGATATATCATGTACAGGTACAAATTCCCTATGATGAATGTTACCATTGTGTATGTCTAAACTGTACCAATAAAATTAATTTTTTTTTTTAAAAGTCTTTTTTCTGCATACCATTCCTGGCAGCTGGGTCTTCCTGGAGACCAGATAGCCTGGTACCGTCTCCTCCCACAATCAGCCCTGTTCCTCCACTTATCTCTGGTGTCAGAGAAAAATGTAGCTTTAAGCCTGCACATTCCAAGCCTGCAGCCTTTGAGGGAAGAGCCCATAGCAGATCCAGCTGGCATCTGGAGGGCAGAGCCATGCTGAGCACTCACCTGATACCTGGGCCAGCCATCCTCACCCTACCCCGGGCTGAGAGATGTGAACAGAGACTAACGGGACCCCCTTGGAGAGCCTCGAGGACAACCTGGATTAAGGGCATTTATTCCTGGAATACTGGGAGTGAGACAGCACAGCAGGGGCCAAAGTCCCTAGAAACTCTTCCCCTACCCGGCACTCATCAGGTGTGTTGGCTCAGCTGCACCTAGGGGGCTGGACCCCCACTGCTAGTGCCAGGGCACTAGCACTTGTACAAACAAGGCCAAAAGGGTATTGTAGGAATTCCTTCTCATTGGATGATTAGGAACTCACTAGACAAGCCGATTTCTTCTCTGGGACTTAGTTTTCTCCCTCTAAAAAGGATAGAACTGGGTGGAACCAGGCAAGTGCTAAACTCCCTCAAAAGCCAAGGATGTGGGCCGGGATGTAGCTCAGTGGCACTGTGCCCACCTGGCAAGCACAAGGTCCTGAGTTCAATCCCTGGTTCCGCAAAAAAAAAAAAAAATAGCCAAGGATCTCTATGACCCAGATTTTTACCTGAATACAGAAAGGAAGTGTAGGCAAGTGTGTAATTACTTTCTTTCCCTGCGGCTATAATTTTCCTAACATTCCAACTGTGTGGTCTTCTAAGAGAAAACAAGGCTCCCCCAAAGATCCACAAGCATGTTGGGACTCTGGATTGTGAAACTTTTTGTGACTTCACTTTTGACCTGCACTTCTGCTTCCTCCCTCATCTCCACCCTTACCTTAGTCCTCCCCAGCCCTGGGCTGCTGGTAGACCCGGGTTGCTGGTCTCAGGCTCCTGCTTTGAGGCCCACCTCACTGCCTGTGAAGAACAGCATGGTCTACCCATCCATGCTATGCCTCTTCCCATTCATGTGTCAACCTTTTCCTCCAAGTAACAGGCTCTGCCTTGGGCTCTGGGGCTAACAGCTGAAGAACAATGAAGTTCTCCCTCTCTCAGGGAAGTCAGCCCTCAGAGAGACAGGAGCTACACCAATCGCCTGAGGACAGGTAGCCAACGTCACCTGGGAGAGAACACCAAAGAAGGGCACCTAATGCACTTGGCAGAGGCAGGGGAGGTATTGCTTGGGCTGTAGCAGGGGCTGCCAGTACCCACCACTGTCCCTGGGGCCCTCCTTCCGTGGAGTTATTCAATGGATCTGCACTCAGGGAGAGGCAGGTGTGCCTGGAGTCAGAACTGCAGGAAGAACCCTGGAGCCGAGAAGAGAGGCTGGGGGTGAAGCTCCTGCCTCCTCACTAGTTGACCACCAGTCCCAGATGTGTTCTCCAAGTCTCTTAGAGGGTTGCCATGGCAGTTGCCGGCTCATTAGCAAACCATCAAACTCCCTCTCTGTGCTGAGGCCCTGGCTCTAGCAGGTACCAAGGAGTGGGCTGAAATGCAGACTGAGTCCACCAAAGGGTGGGGGAACAGCCTGGGGAAAAGTCATGGGGGACAGATGCAGTGTGACATTTGGCATGAAGCAACATGTGGGGTGCCATTTGGAAGACACATATTTGTTGGTCCTGGGATGGGACAAGCACCCCATTCATTTGGCTTCCAAGAAGAGCAAAAGAGAAGGGACTGAAAGTGTGGGCTGCTGGGGGTGGGGGGACCAGTGAGCCCTTCCCAGTGAGCCCTTCCCAGGACGAGTCCTGTGTCCAGGGTCCAAAAAGTTGGCTCGGTGTACTTTGAGAATGAATTGTTCAACTATAAAAGAAAATTTCCAGTCTTCATGACTTCTTTCATGATTTAAGTCTATCTAAATACTTGGGAAAATTCAGCTTCAAATGCTGAGGCCCATGGAAGGTGAGTCATTGATATCAACATTAATATAGTAATATCATATCAATTTCATAGTAATATTGTCAGACAGCTCATTAGTTGTGTGTGCCAGAACCTAGTCCATCACTGTACGCCTCAATTTCCTTATCTGTAACATGGGAATAATAGTACCTGCAGAGGATTCAATGAGATAATGCATTAGCCTCTGACTCTATCTTTTTTTTTTTTTTTTTGTCATTACTGGAGATTTAACCTAGGGCCTTCACTGAGCTACATCTCCAGCCATTTATGTATTATTTATTTATGTATTTATGTATTTATTTATTTATGTATGTATTTATTTATTTATTTTTGACAGGCTGAGTTGCCCGGGCTGGATTAAAACCTGCAATCCTCAGCCTCACAGAGTGTTAGGGTCACTGGTGTGGGCCATCATGTCTGGCTCTGACTACACTTTTTAAAAGGGATCATGATGCTGACAAGCAGCGTACACTACGTAAGGGGCAAGGACAAGGCCAACCTATGGCCTGGGAAAGGACAAGCAGCAGACCCTGCCAGGTCTCCCTCTGCTTCCCTAGCCCAGGAGACCAGTGGGCAGCCTGCCGAGGGTATGTCTGCTAGGCTTGGGGATGACCTGAATGACAGGGCCACCAAGAGGGCCAAACTCAGACAGCTCCTCAGCAAACAGCATGACCAACGGTGGCTTGGAGGGGCACCTGGTCCTGTTTTTCAGGGCTTCCTGGTACCCAACTTCTTTCCTCCTTTGAGTCTTGAACTAGGCACATGCTGCTTCTAACTTCTCCCTCCCTCCTGGCTTCCTGACCCCACATAGCACTGTGTGTCCCCTCTGGGACCAAGCCAGGGCTCCCCAGGGAGTGATGGCACACTGGGGAGCATGGATGTGGCCTTCCCCAGGCCAGCTGAGCCTCACAGATGAAGGAGGCTCAGGGAAGACAGTGGAGAAGGCCTCAAAGGAAGGCCTCCAGGGAACCCCCAGGGACTTCCTACTATCCTGGCAACCCAACAGACCAGGCAAGCAGGGGTCCTGGGGTTGCTCAGTGCTCCCCAGATAAGGAGTGACAGGAGAACAGACAGGAAGCGCTGGTGCAGGTCTGTGCACACAGCTGGAATCATGAGCCCTGACCTCCGCTCAGACCTCTTTGTGGAGCTAGAGGAAATGAGGGGCAGGGTGCAGATCAAAGGGGTCCCCTAAAGGAGCCAGCTCTGTCCTTGGAGCTTGGGGCACACAGGGCTATCTGCTTGAAACAGTGGCTGCAGGCAAAGCTCAGGTTGCATCATCACACCTTCAGGGGCTTTTGGAAATCCAGACGGATCACCCCAGCCCTGGGGCAGGAATGCACTTTCTACATCTCTCCTCGAGTTATTTATCCTCATTTTTATGAGAGTTGCGCACCCAGGCTGCCACTGAACTGGATCCCAGAGCAACTAGACTCTTTCCTGGGAGTCTCGGATCTGCGTTCTTCTTGCTCCAGCTCCAGACTCCTCCAAGATCCCCACCGGTCATGGTACCACCCCTTCCCTGGGGGGGGGGGTCCTTCTCTGCTGCTTGACCACTGGGCCAATCCCAGGAGATGGGAAACAGGGTGAGGCCAGATTCCTGAGAGGCCAGGGGCCTCCTGGGCCTCACGGCGCCATTGGTCCTCACAGCTGACCCCCATCGCTCATGCCTGTGGAGTGGAGAGATGGAGACAGGGAGGGCCGGGCGGAGCTGCCAGCCTGGAGAGGGGGAGTTGGGAGATGGGCAAGGAGGGTGTCAGCTAAAGAGAGCCAGGTCTGTGCTGAGGGAGAGGGCAGGGGCTGCAGGGCTGGGGGAGGGGCAGGTGGGAAGCAGGCCTCCCTACAGCGGCCAGAGCTCAGTTGCTAAATCGCTGGTTCCTGGAAAATATAAAACAAGATCGAGGACTCTAAGGTCCTCGAGGACACATACCTTCCGGGTGAGTTGGACAGACTGCTGGATGCATGAGCTCCTAGCCTCAGTTTCCAGGATCTTTCTCACAGCTTTGACCTCCAACTAGCAAGGCGGAAGACCCTTTCCCTGGAGCCTGGATGGTTACTTGGAGATCCAGCGGTCACAGAGAGAGCCAGGGCAGGAGCACACATCTGAGGTAATGGGGATATCAAGCTATAACCCGAAGGCCTTCTTAGAAGTAGCTTTGCCACACCCAAGGTGTCCTGTGGCTCCCTGATCTACCCCTACCTAATCTCCCAGTTTTCCTGTGCAATACTGGGGACTCCAAGAAGCTTACAGCTTGCACCCCTAGGCTCTCTCTGGGGACAGAGCTGACACTGGGGACCCTGGGTTTTGTTGGAACCTTTGTGGGGTCAGGAAATGCTTGACTCCAGGGGCCTGAGCCTCATGACTCCCTGGGGTCTCCTTTCTTTTTCTGAAAGCAACCCTGAGCTGGCTCCCAAGAAAGGGATCTTGGAACTTACTTTATGAAACTGGGACTTACCTGTAGTGGGACAGGTCTAATACAAAGAATTGGAGCCACTGAGTGTCAGTGAATATGACAGAACCTTCCGTGAGTGTCATGTTTCTAGGCCAGCAGAGCATCTTCCCAACTGAGGCCACTCACGTTTGGGACATATGACTGTTGCCCTGGAAAGCGTTTATATAGACAGAGGGGACATCTTTTCCCTCCAGAAGCTCATGGGATGGGGACTAGATCAAGAGGGTGGGGGGCACTGGGAAATTGAGGTCCAGAATTGACCAATGAGGGAGGCCCTGGCAAGAAGAGGGGAGGACAGGGAGTGTCACCGTGGGGTGGGGGAGTGGTAAGAGCAAAGTCACTGCACACCCAGTGACACTGGGACCCTCCCCCGCCCCTCTAGGGAGCACCCAGGCCCTGCACTGCTCCTCGAAGCCCCGGGTTGGAGCGCACATTTGTCCTGGCTCGGGCGGCCAGGTTTAACGTTCCGTCCTTCGGCTCCCTTTCCCAGGCACGCGCCATGCGGTGGACTCTGTTGCTGCTGCTCTTGACCGTGCAGAGGCAGAGTGAGGCAGGGCCTCACCAGGAGAAGGCCTCGGGCTTCGGACTCGCTCCTCAAAGGTCCCCGGGGAGCGGCGGCAGCACTGCCACCACATCGCCCTGCGAGGGGCTCCCCGCCGCAGGGGCCACGGCCTGGACCTTGGCGAACCGCAACCTGGAGAGGCTGCCCCGCTGCCTGCCGCGCACGCTGCAGAGCCTCGACTGCAGCCACAACCAGCTGCACGCCCTGAGCGTGGGCGAGCTCAGCCACCTGCCCGAGCTGCAGGAGCTCACGCTGCACCACAACAGCATCGCCACGCTGCGCTGGGGCCTCAGAGCGCCGCCCGGGCTGCGCGTCCTGGATCTCAGCTACAACAGGCTGAACAAGCTGCCCCAGTGCCTCATTCCCCCGCGGCACACCCCGAGTGTGTTGGAGCTCGCGGGGAATCCGCTTCGGGAGCTGCCAGCCCGGGCCTTCGTCTGCTTCCCCGCGCTGCAGCAGCTTAACCTCTCCTCCACCGAGCTGGGCGGCGGCGCCCAGGGAGGCATCGCCCGGGCGGCGTTCGCTGGAGCTGCTGGTGAACCCCTGGCCACGCTCAAGGTTCTGGATCTCAGCGGCACGCACCTCCAGCAAAGTAAGTGTGGGTCTTGCAAAGCTAGGCTGTCCGCGCTCCGGGAGCCCGGGCTGTGTGCTCTTCCCAAGTTGACCCAGATGCCTCATTCACAGTAGGGTTCAAAAATACCACCAACTCCTTTGCCCCAGCAAGCGAGCTGGCTCCAAGCTCTGCGCGGGGGTTTGATCCTTCAGAGATGGGAACCGTTAAGATCTCCATTTTACACGACAAGGAAACCAAGGCACAGAAGGTGGAAAGACTGAGCCAAGGTCTCACAGGTCATTAAGCACTTGGTGCCCTCAAAGCCAAAGCCATCTATTCTGGGTCCAGAATCTAAAATTTTAGCCATTGTTCTCTGCCTCCCCAAACAGGGGCATTAAGGCTTCTAGACTGTAGGATCCCTCTGGGGCCGATGCACAAATGATGAACTTGGCACCAAGCATGTGGTTCCTATTCACGAAGTATCCCATGGTCCCGAGATGAATTCATTGTTGTTTCTGCTCGCTTGGCTAAACTTGTGCCTGGGTGTGGTGGATCATTCAAACAGGACCCAGGAGGGAGGTGGGGATAGGGCGCTTCTGCCCTCGGGGTTCTGGCCTTGATTCAGGGGGGTTTGATTGTTTTTAAGAAACGCATTACATGTGTAGTCGTCTATTCCCTCAGAGACAGAAAAAAGAGCACGTATGGGACCCACAGAAGGGAAGAGGCAGTCTCCATTCATTGGGCGAGCTACATAATTGGGCTCTGGCCTCCCCCATCCTTGTCCCTCTCTTCCCAACCTTCCTCAAAGTTCCCACTCCTGGGAGCCATCAGAGTGAAGCCTGGTTATTGTATATGTGGAATTTAACCAGATGTCGAGGCAACAGTGGGCTTGGAGGGGATGTCCTAGCTATGAGTCACCAAGTCCCTTCTTAGCTGTGTGGCCTTGGGCCAGCCATGTTCCTCTCTGGCCTTGGCCAATGCTGCCCAAGATAGGAACAGTCATCTGAGAGGTCCCTCCAGCTACAATGGCTGTACTTCTGGGGTCCCCAAGGCTGCTGACTGTGCCTCACTTTGCAGCAACTTTCTTCATGACTCATCTGTCACTCTCGTTTCCTGACTGCTGTGCTGGCCCTGGGTTTGTGCCTGAGTTAATGGGCAGTGTCGGCCCTGTGTTGCAGTTGAGTCTGGGTGGATCAGAAACCTGCCAAATCTCACACATCTCTACCTGAGGAAGATGCCAAGGCTAAGGACCCTGGAGGGAGACATTTTCAAAATGACCCCCAACCTCCAGCAGCTGGATTGCCACGACTCCCCTGACCTGACTTCCGTCCACACACACATCTTCCGGGATACCCCTTCTCTACAGACCCTTCTTTTCCACAAGTGAGTGTTTCCACTGCACATCTTAATCACAGAAGTATGTTTGCCCTCTATACTATGCCAGATTTTATAGAACAAACTGAACATTAATTTTTTTTTCCTTGTGACGTTTCTAAATTTTCTCTAGGGTTTTGTTCATCCTCATCCTTTGGGTGATGTTTTGGGCAGATCCCACATGGTCCACCATCCTAGCAACTCAGTCCAGTCCAGAGCAATATTAAAGCTCTGACTCTTAGGTGTTAACATTGTTTCAAAGCCCAGGCTGATATAGTTGCAGTAGAAAGAGGGGATGTGGGCATCAGGCCTCCTTCCCATCATGCTCTGCAAGTTGAGTTTCTCCCAGAATTTGAGCAGGTCTGGGAAGGAAAGGTGAGCTGATAAAAAGGTCCCACTTGCAGTTGGGATCTGGAATCGGTGCCCTCTGGCCTGGTGGGTGGCCATTATATCCCCATACCCACTTTCATGCCCAGGAACAACCACTGGCTGGACTTCTAACAAGAAGGGCAGTGTCCCTTTGAGAAGGATCCCAGGCCACCATCTTTCCCTGGGAAAGTGGGCACCTTTGACTTATGGTCAGCCCCAGAGCAGCCAATTGCCTGTTTTCTCTGCTAGAAGGCTCCAGCCAGCATTTGACCTTTAGATTTCTCACATATGAGTCAAAGTCTTTGTTTCCCCAACTTCCAAGGGACATCAGTAGTCCCAGGTCTCCTCCCTCATTTGGCTTAAAGATTGATGAGGCTTCACTTGGCGTAATGGAAGCATCCTTTATTCCCCCACATCAGGGTTAACAGTGGGAAATTAGGGAGCTTCCAAAGTGGTTTTCACTACCCAGCTACTTCTGCCTTGTGAGCCCTTTGCAAAGAGCTCAGAGGCCAGAGATGAGTCAACAAAGCCTACTTCACAGTCTCTTTCCTTGGCCTCACAGGGGCTCCAGAACCTCACTTTAAGAAATGTGTACACTTGGGCCAGGGATTTAGCTCAGTGGTTCTTCCGCCTGCATTGAAAGCGCAAGGTCCTGAGTTCGATCCCCAGTACCAAAAAAAAAAAAAGGAAAGAAAAAAAGAGAAATGTGCACCCTCACTACCTCACTTAGTGTGCTAGCATTTTATAGTCTGTTGAATTTGGGCCTAAAACAGCCCTGTTTTGAACATCCTGTTATTTAACAGCTTTTTCTATGTCATTAGCCATGTGTAAAATATTAAGAGATAGAAACAGCATTGAATCTTCTTTCTGTTGTGAAATTTTGTCCTGCCCAACCCACTTGTAACTTGATAGTTTTCAATAAAAGAATATTACTGTCTCCTGATCTGCCTCCCATGGTCCAATAAGATAGTGTTATGAAAGCCTGGAAGAGCCATGCAGGTAGCACTGTGTGAAAGTATTGTTACTGGCAGAAAAATCCCTGGAGTCTAGTGGCAGGTCTTCTTCTGTTTTACTCGATGCAGACACTAAAGATGGAATTATTTTTCCAAACAAATGGACAGTTGTTCAGAGCAAACACAGAACCATTCACTCGTGCTTTCCTGTACTCAGTAGGCAGCTCCCACAATGTTGGGAAAGGGCTTTGTGTCTCTGGCTCTGACACCTTCTCTGAGCTTGATAAAAACCCAGGAACTGTACAAAGTGCCAGAATTCAAACTTCATGAAGTTTCATTCGGTAAAATAGCTGACAGTACTGCACTTCAGGGCTTTGTATGAGAGAAAGGGGGACAGCACATGTAGAGCCCTTAACTCAGTTTCTAGCAAGCAGCAGGTGCTCTGATGAGTGAAGATGGGGATGATGGTGGTGGTGATGGCGGTGGTGATGGTGACAGCAATGGCGATGGGCAATGATGGTGATAATGACGAAGGTGAGGATGGTGAAGATTGTATGATGATAATGGTGGTGGTGAGGGTGCTGAAGGGGACATTTGTGACGGTGATGATGACAGTGTGACATCTGCTTCTAAGGAGCTCACACTTCAGCATGGACAGTAATTTGCTGTTCATCACAGTACATCGTGATTGATGGCAGAGGCGCATGCCAGGTGCCGTTATAAGGGAGCCAGACAGAATGATCCATCAGACTGGATCAAAGAGGCTTCTTCAGGAAGAACATGATTGAACCATGATTCTAAAGATAAGTCCAAGCTTGGATCTGCGGGTGCAGCCTAAGTTTCAACATGTGACACACATGTATAGCTGGTGTTCCCAAGGTGATGACTGTCACCTCCTAGCTGGCCAGAAGTGTTAGAGCAGATCAGACTGGAGTGTCCTTCCTCAATGAGAACATTAGTATCTGCCCCAGAGCACAAGAATAGCCAAGCCAACCCACTTGGGTTGAATCACGTGAAAGAAAAGAATACTTATTGTCTTAAGCTACTAAGCCTTGGGGGTATTCTCCCCTTAGCAAGTGCTAACTGCTGCATGGAAGTCAAGTATCTCCCAAAGGCCTGGTGTTGCATGCCATCAGCTACAGTCCAGGTCTGGGGTGTAGCTCAGTGATGGGGAACACATGCTTAGCGCTTGCCTGGATTTCACCCCCAACTCTGAAAACAAATCCTGCCAATTACTGTTATCAGTCTATAATAACACTGCTTTTGTGTGGAGATTTACATTTGTAAACAGTTTCACCATCACGGACTCCCGCTGACATAACCAGTTGTCATGAGGGAATTACTGCTATTTGATACAAGGGATGATATTGACTGATGAGCCCCAAGGTCATGAAGGGTCCCACTCAAAGCAATCTCATCTAACCCCTAACTGAATGGCTTTCCCGTGGTACCACTGTGCATCTCTGAAACATTTTTAACCTTGTTGTAAAATCTGACAGATTGTAAAATCTGACCAACTGATTTTTTGTGTGTTATTTCAGCTGCAACTTGAGTTCCTTCCCTCCTTGGACCATGAATTCCTCCCAGGTGCCATCTGTTACCCTCTTTGGCAACCCTCTCACTTGCAGCTGTGAGTTATCCTGGCTCTTCATGGATGCAGAGAGAACTGTCCTAAGCAGGTAACATTGACAAAGCAGGTGGCTGAGGGGTAAGGGTCAGCTTCCAGGAGCTGGAGTTGTCATGATCATGCTGGACATCTGGGCAATGTTGGGCAGGGCAGTCCTCCCCCTTGTAATCACACATGGGTGATGAGGCGCTGTTCCCATTCCAGCCAGCCAGACTGCAAAGAACCAGGAGCTGCTGACTTGGGGGCATTTAAATGGGCCAGGTCCTGGGATGGTGTGCTTCACTTCTACTCACATTCGTTGGCCAGGAGTCAGGAGAAAGCCACACCCAACTGCAGAGGACACTGGGAAATGTAGTCTAGCTGAGTGCCCAGTGGGAAAAAGAAGTGGTTTAAGTGAACAGCTAGCCCTGTCTCTGCCTAAGCAAGTGTATCATTGCCACATTTTATAGGCAAGGGGACAGGGTTCAAACAGATGAGATATTTAATTAAACCCATGCAGCTGCTGGATGGAGAAGGGAAGATCTATCTTCTCCCCAAACTGGGCTCTTAACTTTCGGCCCTGCTGAACACCCAACATAAAGCCTGGCTTCCTCTCTTGGGCCATTGAGCCCATGGCCAGTAGGCTTATGGAGCTCTTTCATGGTTCAGGACAAAAAGAATTCTTATGAAGGCTGTTGACTGGAAGAGCTGTTTTTGCAGTGGGAGAGCCACATCACCAGGCTGGCACCAGAAGATGGGTGCTGGGGAGCCAGGGACATCCTGGTCCTGAGCACCCTCAAATCAGCCCCACCAGCTAACTGCCCCTCTTCAGGAAACAACCCAAACATCCTCCAGGATTCTTTTCTCACCTCCCATGCATATCAAGAAAGAAGTTGAGGGTGTAGGCTGGAGTCAAAGAGTCTGGCTTCATCATACAACTGACAACTGCCAACGTGGCTCAGTTACTTAATCTCACTCTGCCTTCACCTCCCCATCTGTAAAATGGGGATAAAACCACCTGTCCTATGAGTGGTAGATTAAGTTACTGCTAAAGTCTGAAGAATAGTGCTTAGCACATGGTGAGCACTCAGGAATGTTCACTAGTAAGTGTGCATTCATGAGCACTGACTGTCAGGAAGGAGACAGGTGTAAACAAAGCAAAGGACTTTGCTTCGAGAATCTGTATGCCCTTTCGCTGTGCTCACCCAGGTTCGGGTTCAGGCTCTGCTGTTTGCTGGCCATGGTCTCTTGGGCAGTTACTTCCTCTTTCTGAACTTGTCTCCTTTTTTGCCCAGTGGGACTAATGCTAGTTGCCTCCTCCAAATGTGATGTGTACGGGGTTTGTACCAGGTGATACCTGGCTGGGATGAGTTATGAGGCTTGGTGGGAGGGGATGCTCAGCCCAGAGTAGCCCTGAGGCAGATTTTTCTAACTGCCTGGCTTCCTCCTAGGGCGGCAGACACGATGTGCTCACCAGCTGCAGGATCCAGGGGCCCCTTCTCAGCGCCTCTTCCCCTCTCCCAGCTGCCAGGTGTGTGCAGGTCAGACCTTCTGGCTTCAAACCAGCCTGTGGGAGGCCAGCCAAGTGTCACCAAAGGCTCATCCCACTTGACTCCTTCAGACAACGGGATTCCCGTCATCCTGTTGGATGATGACAGCCAGGAGGAGAGGGACAGGGAGGAGGTGGATGTCCCCACTCAGCCTGGCCGCTGCGATTACAACCTGTGCAGGCACCTGCAGACCCCATGCCTGGAGCTGCAAAAGCACTCACATTGCACCTGCCCGGGGCTCAGCAGGGAGGACACTGTCCCCGACCCGCCCCAGCTACAGAGGGTGTCGGAGTTGACTGACACGTCAGTGCTCATCCGCTGGTGCGCCCCTTACTCGGTGGTGCGCACCTACCAGATCCACTACTTCACGGAGGGTGATGCAAGGAACCAGTCAGTGGGAGACATCTATGCCACTGCTCGACAGCACCCTCTGTACGGGCTGTCACCCAGTACTACCTACCAGGTGTGCGTGGTGGCAGCCAATGCTGCGGGCCTGAGCCAGCTGGAGCCGATGGGTTGGAGGAGGCCGTGCACCACTGTCACCACTAAGCCCAGCTCAGTGGTCATCCTCATGGCGCTGGGGACTGCCTGCAGCCTGCTGCTCCTCAGCACCCTGGTGCTGTCTGTGTGCCTCTTCAGGCAAGGCCAGAAGCTGTGCCGGCACAACCACAACACCTACCTGGTGTCCTTCAAAAACCCATACCTGATGCCCCTCGAAAACCCTGGCCAGGACTGCAGGCAGAGTGCAGTGATGGGAGTCTTGCCTGGTGTGTGTGAGGCCCCAGGTTCCATCCCCAGCACCACACAGAGAGGAGAGGAACCAGCCTTTGACCCTGTGAAGCTGCAGACCTTCTATTAGCCCAATGTTCTTCTTCCAGTGGAGCTGATCTTTGTCCAGAAGGAACAGAGGGCCCCAAATGGCCCCATCAGGTCCAACTGCGAGAGGCCAGCATGCCTCCAGCATGCACTGTGTCTCTGTCCAAGGACCAATTGCTTTCCTTCCTTCTCTGCTGTCCCTGATGGTCAACACCAGGCCACTCCCACTGGCACCTGGCATTCTTTCCTCTTGCTTACTTGGGGTTTCTGCAGTCAGTACCCCTCAGGACCCAGCAGAGCAGTGTACAGAAGCAGGAAGAGAGAAACTGCACCACCTGGCCTCGTGGGCAATACTGGAAATAACATCCTTAGGTCTTTTCAGGACAAGTTCCCTTGTGGTCAAGGTCTAGCCAAAGCATGATGACACTGTTGTTCAAGGAATCCTGAGAACCGAAAGCCAGGCAAAAGCACTACTGCTGGTGGCTTCTGGGTTTGTGAGCTGCATTTCAGGACACAGCAAATGTGCTTCAGGCCTTAAAGTTAAAACTGGTCTTTCAGGAAGATTTGTGCAACACTGCATTTCCCTCAAGACTGAGTAGACAAAAATATATAAATTCATTTTTTTAAATGAAGCACAGTAAGTGCACTTTTAGAATTTTATTAGAGGGAAGAAAGGAGCAAAACCCCTCCAGGCTCTGACTGGAGGCCAAGGCATCTTACGCTCCCAATTTACCAGTGCCTTAATGACTTTTCACTTTGATACAAACAGGGAAAAAATCGATCCTACAAAATTATACTGGGGGGCAAACTTCTAGATTTTAATTTTGTTAGCATTTGTTTCCTGTGGCTGCTGTAAACTGCCACCAACTAAGTGGCTTAAAACAAAAATTTATTGTTACAGTTCAGGCCAAAGACCCAGAAGCAAAACTACAATATAAGTGGGGCTGGTTCCTCCTGGAGGATCTGAAGGAGAACAGTACCATGACTTCCCAGCTTTCTACGGTTGGCAGGGATGCTTGTTGCTCCATAGTGGCTGGAAAGCTTATCTGGGAGGCAGCTTGCTTAGCTTATCTACATCACCATCACCCCAGGGCATTCTGTCTCCTTATCAAGATTCCCCCTCCCCCCACCATTTTTAAAAAATAAAGACACTAGTCATTTAGTGACTAGTCACTGGGTATGTGTGACCTCGCCCTGACTTGGTTAGATCTGCAAAAACCCTATTTCCAAATAAGGTTACATTCTCGGGTACTGGAGGTTAGAAGCCTGGAGCTTATCTTTTAGGGGGACAAAATTTAACTCACAATAGATTTATTTCTATTGTAAGAAAAAGTCAAGCTTGAATCCCATGTATCTTTTGTTTCTAAACCATGCTACAGAGTCTGAGTAAATACAAGTTTCAGCCAACTAAGAAAAGATGTCATGGGCTGGGTCTGAGGGCCCAGAGGCTGAAATAAAGAACTCAATCCACCCCTTTATTATGCAGGTTTGTTGACTCCCATAGAGGAAAAATAATTTTCAAGACAAGTCAGTAAAAGGAGGGCCGGGGATTTAGCTCAGTGGTTCCACCACCTGCCTTGCAAGTGCAAGGTCCCAAATTCAATCCCCAGTACAAAAAAAAAAAAAAAAAAGTCAGTAAAAGGAGGCATACGGAGGATTTATTAGAGGAAGACAGAGAACGCACTCAACAGCAGAGTTCGGGTGCTCAAGGAATGAGGCACCAGTTGTAAACCAGGGTAGGGCGCACATCTAAGAGCTGTTAGCAATATGGGTGACTCTAATATGTATTCTCACTGTCCACCCTGTGCAGACCATCTACAGGAGCCTGAGGAGGAGCTAGTGTCTCCTGGCAGCTGCAGGAAAAGCAATTTGCAGGTGAAAGGGAATGGGTGGACCTACATGCAGCTGAAAGGGACTTGTCCAGGTTTGCTCCTTTGGGAGAAGGGAAAAATAAACCAGGCTTGTGTTCCAAAGCTGCAGTTTTCCTTTAAAAGTACAATTTTATTGTACTATCCAATCCAAGGGGAAATCTTTTAATCTTTAGATGGCATGAAAAGACCCAACATTTGAGCAGTCCATTCTTTAAAAATAGACTTGGTTCTGTGAGATGTTGTTATTGTGTTCTTATGGTGATGGGTGTCACAAATGGAAAAATCACTACATCAGGGACTTGAATGCACTTTGCTTGTTTTACATATAGGCTGAGAGAGAGGGAAAATGTATTTAAAAGAAATATGAGAAAAGAACATGTGAAAGTTTTACAGGTAGAGGGATGGAATGTAATGTTTAATGTTGATGTCATGGGGGACGAAGTGGCTTTGCTGACACTCAAAACTCATTTAGTTGTTTTCTGAGACTTAGAGTTAAAAAGTATATCTGTAAAACTAATCTTTCTTAATATACACACTAAATGACTGTTACATCCTCAAAATAGTGACATGAAGGCTTCACACTAATTCCAGTGACACAGCTTTTATGCGAAATCTTTTTAGAACTCCTCTTTTCAAACCACGTTTGAATCTTCATTCTTTTTAAAAATATACTTCATGGTTATTTTTCCCTTTAGGAATATAGTTGATTTGGGGAGGAAAACTTATTCAGAATAATAAAAGTATTTCAAACAAGGCCAGTTTTTGACTATTTGAAGTGTAAAATGAAACGCAAAGTAAGACTGATTTTTCCAACTAACTCAGAAAGAAATTCCAAGATGTGAATTTGAATAGCAGCATTCCTGGCTTAAGAGTCTAGCAGAGAAAAGCTGGATCTGGTAAATAAGTCTAGTATTCATGTTTTTAAAAAGTTTTACAGTCACACATTAAACCATTATATAAGGTTCCTGTATTTTCAGCATATAATTTTTAGCTACCATCACCCATCTGATTGAATCATGAAATTAGAAATTCTGTGCCATGGTATAGATGTTCCAATTCAAGCCATTTTAAAGTGTGCAAGTTGGCAACAGGACTGGTACTGAAGTATGGTTGTGTCCTCTGTTTTCACAGCCTGTTAAGTGTTGAATCCCCTGACCAAGAGGGGCTTCCTAGGAAGAGTGGCGTCGTTATTTCCCCTAACATAGACAACCTGTGACGTGAGTTTTTAAAAGGGCTTTATGTGAACTGATACTGTAATTTTTGTAAGCATCTTCAAAGGGGTAGCAAAATTATGTTTATTTACTAATTCTGGTCAGGAAAATCAATGGTATTCATTAGATTTTAACTGGAGCAGTTCCTTCTAATCACAATTGTACAGTTAGGATAAAGCACTAACTTAATGTGTACTCATTTTAAATTGTTATGTATTTTTAAATTGCCAAGAAAAATAAACTGTTTTGTGTATTTGAAAAAAATAAAATAAAAGTACAATTTTCAATTCCGATTTCCTGGTCTCCTTTCTACCAAGTTTTATTTCTTCTGTCCTACCTCAACACTATGTATTTCCAGGAGTTTGAAGTTTGGAAAGTGCTTCTGAAAATTCTACGGTGTACCCCTATTATCAAATATATAATCAAGAGTTACGGACCGGGGATTTAGCTCAGTGGTTCCAGCTCTTGCCTTGCAAGCACAAGGTCCAAAGTTCGATCCCCAGTACGAAAAAAAAAAAAAAAAAAAGAGTTGGACTCATCTAAAATGTCCTAAAAGTTGCAAAAGTAAAAGCCAAAAAGTGATGAATTAAATGTAAATCCCCCATACATGTAAATTAAATGAGCCCAACATTTGCAGTACTAGCAAGATGCATCTATTCTGTGGAGACACTGAACTAAATGTCACGTTTTAGGTCTATATTGCATGAATGTATGCTTGAACATGCCTAATTTAATACAATTCCAGTATATTTTAGAAACTGGCAGAATGTGTGTTTTGTAACAACTCAGGATCCAAAAACCTGGGGAAAGTCCATCCCCAGCACCACTAAAAATAAGTTAAAACAAAAAAAGAGGCGATCTGTATCATTTCTCCTAAGGGCTGAGGTGAAAAAAGTATATAGACTAGCCAGGTGTGGTGGCACATGCCTGTAATCCCAGCACTCTGGGAAGCTGAGGCAGAAGGATCACAAGTTTGAGCCCAGGCTGGGGAACTCAGCAAGACCCTGTCTCAAAATAAAAGATATGAAGGGTTGGGGACACAGTTAAGCGCAAAGGCCCTGGGTTTAATTTCCAATATCAAAAACAAAAATAAAAAGGTATATAGACCACAGCTAGAGTAAGACCTTACTTAATACTAAAGAAACTATGGGTCTAATCTGTAAGTCACTCCAAATAGCATCAACACTAAGCCATAAATATATACAAGATACAGCTGTAATTTTTCCATAACTTTTCTTTTTAAAAAAACATTTTTGTAGTGCTGGGCACAGTGGCACATGCCTGTCAATCCTAGCACTTGGGAGGCTGAGGCAGGATTATCTTGAGTTTGAGGCCAGCCTGGGCTACGTAGTGAGTTCAAGGCCAGCCTGTACTACATACTGGGACCTTGTCTCAAAAAAAAAAAAAAAAAAAATTGTGCACTCACTCCTGGACTTTCTGGATGGTCCAGCAATGGGAGCTCGGCCTCTGGCCTTAGCACCTCCCTGCTGAGCCTGGATGGTAGGTTACAGAGAAGACAGCTGCAGGCCACTGTCTCCCTCTTACTGGTGCAGCGGCAGTGCCCTAGTGCAGGCCTCCACATGCTCCAAGCTGAGGCAACTCAGCTGCCAGTCTGAAAATAGGCCAGGAGCAGGAAATAACAGGATCCACTGATGCACGGTGCCTTCAGCAAGAGGCATGGGCTTTCCTGACAACTTCCATGTGACTCAACCCAGCCCACAGGCTGTGACTGATAATCCTACCCCGAGTCTGCTTTTTGTCTGGGTCAAGCTAGGGGCAGTGGGCAGCAATCAGCCTCCCGTGTCAGGAGGACCAAACAGCACCGCCACTATCTTCCTTCCCACTGTGTGACTCCCTTTCTCCTACTAAGGTCTTTAAGTCAGATGGGCCCAAACCAATTATTTCACAATGTAAGTGCAGGGGATACATCTTCATAGACTTCATGAATCAAGCAACTCACAGTCAGAGGATTAAGTATGCAACACAGAAAAACCCAGGTTGAAGGTACAAGTGTTTTCCCAGTAGTTTTATTTCTTTAACATCTTAACAAAAGATTCTCCAAAGTTTAAAAAACTTTTGAAAAATATACAGTTTCGTATTATTTACATAACATACATGTAGTTTCCAGTATCATAGAAACATTGCTGTGTCTGAAATGCAGTGACTGTGGAAATAAGTAACTCACAGCCTTTTGGAGCAAAGGCTAATGGACATGTTCTTTTACTTCAACTACTTTGTTACTTGTCATGTGAACTCTTAGGCACCTGAGAGGTTGGAAGACTTCTGAACACAAATTTCAATACCTTCTACTTTGAGTCATCCTACTCATTTTCTATTTTTCTTTTGGTACCGGGGACTGAACTCAGGACCTTGTGCTTTCAAGGCAGGCACAGTGCCACTGAGCTAAATCCCCAGCCCTCTTACTCATTTTCAAACTTATTTTAAATCTCTTTACCATTTTACTTTATCCACAGCTAAGTTAACTTTATTCTCATTATTATAAATGATCAAATAGTAACCACACAAACTGCTACTGTGTATACAGGTTTAAAAATCAAACATAAACATCTACAGCCAAGCTGTGAGAATATGTGTAGGATGCGTATTTAATCCCAACAAATTCACTACTGTTTTGTGAGCAATCTAAAGTCTACTTAAAGGTGTCTACTCTTCAGTCTCCATGCTGAGATGTTTTTAAAAAACATATAAAAAAGACTGATTATAATTGAAATAGTTAATTTCTTATAAATTAATCAAGAAACCTAAGATTAAAAATTCTAAATTATAGTTTTATTTGTATTTTAAAAATACATTGGAAATTCTGCATATGCGCATGATCAAGCTTCTCTTCAATGCACACTACTTTAATTCTGATGACACTGTTTGTTCTGACAAGTCCCTTTTCAAGCTGAACACGAAAACAGGGAACTCCTGTAGATTTACACTGGCACTGCCGCCGCCGCCGCCGCCGATGTCTATTGCTTTCTTGCTAATGGTAATGGGTGACTTTCATCTGTCTTTTATCACTTGAACAGTTTTCCGACCATAATGATAATAACTGTAAGCTGATGCAGCTGTGGTGAAAGCTGTAAAATACCTTTTAAGAAAAAAATGATATGATTTCACTGTCGAATCTAAAAATCAATAACAGCAAGAATCATAAAAACATGTCAAAAATCTATTTACGAAGGAAAACAGGGCCTGGGATTTAGTTCAGTGGTGCTGCTGCCTGCCTCACAAATGCAAGGTCCTGAGCTCGATCCCCAGTACAAAAAAGGAAAACAGGCTGTACAATGGTTTAAATTGAGACTGTCCCCTTATGGGAAATGACTGAATCACTGGGCTGACTTCTTGTTTGGAGGCAGGGGGCAGCTCACTGAGGCTGTGACCCTAAGGGTTTATTTAACTCCTTTCCTTTCTTCTCTCCTCTCTCTCTGCTTCCTGGCCACCATGACATAAGCTGTTTTCCTTCCACCATCTCTTCCTGCCTTGGAGCAGGCTGACCATGTACTGTAACCCTGAACTAAAACTGAACGTCTTAAATTGCAGGTGTCTGGTATTTTCTCCAAGTGATGGGGAAAGTGACTAAGACAGGCTGGTGGGGTATGTGTGTGTAGTGTGTGTGTGTGTGTTGTGTGTGTGTATGTGTGTGTGTGTGTGTGTGTGGTGTGTGTGTGTATATTTTTTTTTGGTACCAGGGATTGAACTTGGCACCTTGAGCTCTCAAGGCAGGTGGCAGAACCACTGAGCTAAATTCCTGGTCCCTGGTGGTATATTTTTTTAACCACAAAAATCGAAAAATACAGTTTTTCCTTAAGACTTCATTGGAATTTAGTGATGTTAAACAAAATTTAGTTAATAAGCCCTAAACATTAATGGCAATACTAGCAACTGCCATTTTTACCTAGACATTATTCCAAGTGTCTCAGGTTCTCATGTCATTCTCACAGCACCTCCTGTCACAGTTGAGGAGCAGAGACCTGGTGACCAGGCAGGGCAATGACTGGTTAGCTCTGAAGCCCCTGTACACTTTTCCTCTGTCCATGCTGCTCAGAGGATGGCATTCTATTTCCTAGAGCCTTTGAAGACTCTCAGGCTATCTGAGTCATTTTAAATCCCTTTCAGCTCTTTACCAAACACCAGGGTTGCCTCAGGCCCTGCTGAACCACCAGGCCAGCTGAGAAGGATCAGCAGCAGAGTTCCATTTATCCCAAACCTGCTTCTGCTGGCCCGGTATTCCAAAGTCACACATAAACCCATGAATATAAGGCAGGAAGAAGTGCTATTTCTGAGAGCTAAGTTGTCTATGAGGAAAGACAATAAAAGCAAGTTGATTAAAAAAAATACTGTCAAAATAAGTAGGCAAGATGATTGTGAAATAACTGAGGAAATATGGTGATAATCTAGATGGTTCCTACACTCTGACTGCTCTGCAAATGTCTAAGGTTCTTGGATCACCTTAAAAAAGCAAAAAATGAAAACCAAAAAGGTTGTATTATAAATGCAATTTATTCAAGAGAAAACTCTCCTGAGGATCTATACGGCAAGAAAAAGCCTTCACTGTACATTAGAAAATAGAAGATGAATCACAATGAAAAAAATCCATATATATATAAACAGACAGAAAGAGATATATATTTTAGATTAAAACAAAAAGTTTATATAGAGAGTATTTTCATTTAAAAAATTTCTTTGGGGGCCGGGGATTTAGCTCAGTGCTTTCGTCGCCTGCTGCCCAAGCGCAAGGGCCCGAGTTCGATCCCTGGTACCAAAAAATAAAAATAAAAAATAAAAAATTTCTTTGGCTTAACCAATCTCTTTCCAGATTGTATCAAGCAAGAAAGTTTCATTATAGTTAAAAATGTACCAAAATACAGTTCAAAATCAATGTGGCACATTTTGAACATAGTTTGGATGTAACATACTGTTAAACAGTATAAACAAGGGCTGGGAATTTAGCTCAGTGGTGCCGAGCCTGCCTTGAAAGCACAAGGTCCTGAGTTCAATCCCTGGTATGGTACTGTACCATATGGGGCAGGGTGGGGCAGAGTATAAATAAGCAATTAGCATGATAAAATAAGATTCACATTCCTCTCTCCCTCCCACTCCACCCCGGTACTGGGCTGGTCTCCCCCTTTCCTACCACCGGTCCCCTACACCAACTGCTGAGGATCTGCCTCCACCTGGTGGCCTCCTATTGGTCTCTTACTGTACAAAATCCACCTACCCCACTGCACAAGTGCCACTTCCTGAAGTTATCCCTCCCTCTTCTTCCTACCTGAAACCCAGACACATTAGCAGTTCCCTTTCCTTTTAAATTTCATGAAAGTGGACTTCTACACTTCATACTTGGTAGTAAGTATTTGAAGAATGGTATCAATAATAAACTGCAGTTTTATCTTATAGAATGCATTAAACACTTTAAGAACAAAGTCATTCCAAAGGACTGTCACAGTCCACCACTCTGCTGGCATTCTCAAAGAGTAACTCTAAATTTAGCTTACCACAGTATGTGAAGATAAACGCTGTCAGCATAATTGAAAACTGGAGCTGCCAAAGAAGCTGCCACCAAGATTAACTGGACCGCTGTGTTCACCTTTAAAGAAAGAAAAGAAGTTATAAATGGTGTCAAATGGGTCCTGTTTCAAGCTCTCAGACAAAGCCATGGCCCATCACAACACACTCAGCATGCTAGATGCTGATCTACAGCATCCATGCCAGAGAAGCTGGTATTCACAGGTGAGAATCCTTAAAAAGGTCAGCTTCAATAACGGCCCCACCTGTCTCCACAGCTACCCTCTACAGTGAGGGTAATGACAACTAACTACCAGAAAATATATACTGTACCACCATTCTGAATTTCCATGAATAATTCAATAATGCCCCCCCCCATCCCCCCGGGGTACTGGGAATTGAACCTAAAGCTTTGCACTTTCTAAGGAGGAGCTCTACTGCTGAGCTACATTCCAGGCCCCCTTTCAATTTATATTGAAAGAGAGAGGGCCTTGCTAAGTTGCCCAGGTTGGCCTCAAACTTATGATCCTCCTGCTTCAGCCTCCTGAGCATCTGGGATTACAGGGTGCCTTACCATGTCCGGCTTCCCCTTTTTTCTAGAGGCCCATTAAAGCAGCCTTGTGAATGTGGAAGTAATGAAGCTTATTCTTCCTAGAGGAGATGACACAGCTGACCTGCCTGCAGTCACAGCAGACTACAGAACCCATACTTCCCGGGGCCTTTCTCTTGGCCCCCTGTTGAGCCCTGCGAGCATTCCTGTCCAGGAAAGAGCCCCTGGGGGAAATGAGGGGGATTCCCGACCCTAAGAGACAGCACCAGGAGACACCTGAGCAGGACTCGGTGCAGTGATTGTGCAGATGGTGAACATGAAACAGGTGCCCTGACATGTGCAGAGCAGTGCTGTGCTTCTGTCACCCAGCTGCACCCAAATGACAGGGATCCCACTTTGTTTCTGAAAATAAATGACTTAATTCACAAGAACAAGAGTTGGATGCATTGGTCCCTCCACTGAGCCACTTTCTCTCTAGTGCTGCAAACTGCCGTAATTGACACAAATATAAGACTCTGGAGGTCAAAAAGTCCTTATGCATGTAGATGAAATCCACCATCAGGAATCTCTGTATTAAAGCAGTGGCTCTTCCGTCCCTAAAATAATCAGGCCCCGACCCCCCACCCCAGCAACCTACTAAATTTCTGTCACAAGGGACAGGACACACAGATGACTTGAACAAACTTATCAAGACTACTGAAAAAAATACAGTGCTATCTCAGTTCACAAACCAAATCAAATGTCCCCATAAGGTCAACATTGAACCTAACCACTGAATTTGATTCAGCTTGGGCCCAGAATTGTGGAAAAGAATCATGTTCGTGAACCGAGGTACCAATGTATGGGTTAACAGTATCCTTTTTGTACTCAAAAACTGACATAGCTAGTATCCTGAAAATGACTCCAGAAAACAGAATGGATAACTAAAAGTAGCAATTCGTTAGTGAGGAAGACCTTCTTCTATCCCTTTTCACTGAGAAGCCCATCTTGAAAGTGAAAGGCCTTTCACATGATGTTTTTGGGCCAGGGTGGGAGGTAGTAAAACTACAGACTCTCCACACCTCAATCCAGAAACAATTACATTCCAACTCCCTTCACCTTCCCCAGCCCTGTTACAGCCTTCAAGGCTTCAGCTTGCAGACCAGCAACACAAGGCAATTTGTGTATACAGTGGACCCTCGAGTTATGACTTGCCTAACATACAAACAACTTGGGTTATGACCGGAATTTTAGTTTTAACTTATGACCAAAGTCTTGAGTTATGACCCAACTGCCAACTGCTTGTGCTTCCAGATTTAGCTCTTAAAGAGTTCTGCAAGGAAAATTACAACATCCTTTCTTTCCTGTGTTGGGTTAACTGAGAAATCCTGGGCCAACGTCTAAGAACACTGAGATCTGCCTGAACAAAGGAGAGACACTTCGTAGGCTGTGTAGAGGACCCTGGTCTTCAATTGACCAACTTGAGTTACAACCAGCCTTCTCAAATGAATTGAGTTTGTAAGTCAAGAGTCCACTGTACTAAGGGTCCTCCAAGCTTGGAGGACAAAATAACTTGGTTAAACTTATCTGCACAACCCCACTTTTCTTTTTTGGGGAGGTACCAGAGATCAAACTCAGGACCTTGTGCTCGCCAGGCAGGTGCGGCACCATTGAGCTAAATCCCCGGCCCTATGACCCCACTCTTAATCCCTGCCAGTCAATGCATTTAAGTTTATCTCATTTTCACAGTTGCTGCTGACTGAGGTTCATATTCATTAGAATAAAAATTCACCAAGAATAACTAAAAAGATGCTGTGTATCTCTTACCTTACTGATGAATGTTGGTTTTAACCTAGCAGTAGCATAGCAAGGATTGAAATACTTAGCTAGTGTTCGCTGGCAGAAGACCAAAAAAAAGATGATTTCAATTTATTATTTAAAGCAAACATCTTGTTATTACACGTAAGTAACAGTTCCTGAGTGCTTGCTTACCTCATGCATGGCCCCATACTAGAAAAGCCCTTTCCATGCATCTTCTTATAATGTGAAGTAAGTACAATCTATATTCTTTATAAATCACAGGCAGGGTACTGAAAATTCTTTCAAATTTACAGATTTGTTTCTAAAGTCTTATAAAATTCTAACACAACAGTTATCATAAGGTTTGCTTGACCACAACTTATTATTTTTTAGTTTTATTTTTTCCCCAACTTTATTTAGAAAAACAAATTCAGGTCCCAGTATATTTTTTTGAGATAGGATCTCATTATGGGTATGTAGTTCAGGCTGCCCTTTGAATTCCTTATGCAGCCCAGGCTGATCTCAAACTTGCAATCCTTTCTCAGCCTCCTGAGCCCTAGAATTACAGGTGTGCCCCACTTCACCTGGCAGATGCGAAACTCTCATTTCCTTTTACAGATTAAAAACAAAATGAAAAATATTGCTCTATTTTCAGTGGACTGGGAGCAAGAGTTTATTATGCAATGCTTATATGCACAAACATTTATAGAGCCAATGAAAAGTACACAAGCAAACTATCCCATGCTCACACTGTAATTTAAAAAACCAGTTACAAATAATCCATAGTAGAGGCAAAATAAGACAATGGTACAGGAGCTCTGTAAACACCCCTAACAGTTTGCTGCCATGGATGGAGGGAAACTGGGCTGCACTTCATGCCATTCACTGAAGAGTTGGACTTAGAAACATGACATGGGTGTGGTGATGCAAGCCTGGAACCCAGCACACAGGAGACTGAGGCAGGAGGATCACCATGAGTTGGAGGACAGCCTGAACTACATAGCGAGCCGCTGTTTCAAAAAAACCCAAAAAACAGAAAAAAGAAACATGTCTTTTAAAAAATGACAACCTGGGCCAGGGATTTAGCTCAGTGGCACCATGCCTGCCTCAAAACCGAAAGGTCCTGAGTTCAATCCCCAGAACAAAAAAAAAAAGAAAGACAACTCGTGTTTACCAAATAACATACCTGAGTGTGTAATTCAAATAGGAAGGTAGTTTTTTCTTTGGTACCACAATCAAACTTAGGACCTTGTGCTTGTGAGGCAGGCAGCAGCACCACTGAACCAAATCCCCAGCCTGAGGGTAGTTAACTTTTTAAAATTTTGGTAAATGAGGGCCAGGGATTTAGTTCAGTGGTTCCACCACCTGCCTCGCAAGCGCAAGGTCCTGAGTTCGATCCCTGGTACCAAAAAAGATAATAAAACAATTTTGGTAAATGAGTAAAAAAATACATTATTCCCCAAAAGTAAAATAGTGTGCAACAGAGTGACTATTTATTTTTCCTTAACTGTATGCATTGAAAGATTATTTTTTTAAACAAACTCACCGGTGTTGGGAGAGTTCGATATCTGACATAAAAAACAGCAGCAATCAACATTATGTCTCTTGAAATTATCATATAAGTAAGTGGAACTGAAAATAAAATGTAAAATAACTTTAATGAGAATTCTGAAAATTACTAACACACATTATGACTACAAAGTCTCATTTAGCTTTACCATAAACTGATGTTTCCCAAAAGTGAAAATCATGCATTGATGGTTCAGGGTCCTTAGGATGAACTACTGGTCTTTATATTCTTTTTAATGAAAGTAAAATAACCAAACAGGGCTTTGGGAGGCTAGAACTGCTTTCCAGAATACTGATCTCGTCTCTTTCACTTACATTTTTCCTGCATACACCTTATAATGTTCACAAGCTGTTATTATAAGCTATACGCTCTCAACCTGCAGATATTAGTGTCTGCTCTACTCGGTCCCTCTAGTTCATTTTCTCCTTTGTTACTTCTCAGCTTTGTGAATTTGGAAAAAAACCCACTATGCTCATTAGGATTAAATAAAATGAGATGTGTGTCAGGGGACTTAAATTTTTCTGGAGCCTCAGGTGCTTTATTTGCTTCTGCATTTTAGATTTTTTTTCCAAAGAGTAAAACTTACTATCTGTACAACTTGTGGAGAAAGAGAAATATTTTCATTCTTGTCCAGCCAGTACCTACCCAGGCAACTACTGTTTCTCTCCCTGCCTGGGCAATCAATGAACCCAACTTGTCAACAGCCTTCTTACTATGGATAGAATACTCCCAAACAAAGTGTTTGGATAAGAAGGTTTCAAATTTCAGTTTTTTGATTTTTGGAATATTTGCATAGACTTTACCAGTTGAGCACCCCTAATCCAAAAATCCAGAATCCAAAATCCTGAACTCACAGGGTCTTGCTCTGTAATTCAGGATGGCCTTGAATTCACAGTAATCCTCCTGCTTCAGCATCCCAAGTGCTGAGATTACAGGCCTGTGTCACCACACCCAGCTAAAATCTCAAACTTCTTGGGCTGGGGATTTAGCTCAGTGGTTTCTTCACCTGCTGCGCAAGTGCAAGGACCCGAGTTCAATCCCTGGTACCAAAAAAACCCCACAAAAAAACAAACCTCAAACTTTTTGAGCATAACGTCATTAGGGATGCTCAACCTGTGTTCCTCAGCCTTGCAGCATGGTCCTCGAACCACTGCCAAGGGACCTGATCCCTGCTGAGCAGGAAGGGGTGCACAGAGACCTCTCTTCACTTTGTGTCCTTCTGCACTATAGAAGCTTTAACCACAAACTTATACCTTTGTAAGAAAAAATTTTCAAAGGGAAGGAAAAAAGTCTCCATTCAAACACCCAGTTCACTCAGTTCAAATTATTACAATCACTAAAACAAAAGGATTATATCCACCCCTTCCATAACACTGTCACACAACTCTTCCACGGTTTATCTGAGGTTGTATTTATCATCCGCTCTGAGGACTTTACATGGACTCTGCAGTTTGAACACTAAAGCTCACTAATTAAGAGATTTTAAACTTCTGATCCTGCAGGTCATAGCTATGATGTAAGTGCTAATCCTTGGCCAAGCCCTCTTTGAGGACACTACTCCACAGAGGAAATGCTAGGCACTAGAGTGACAGCATTTGGAGTTAAAAGACAGGATTGCATTAGGTAAACTAGAGAAATGCAAGCCGTAATTTTCAAAAGCATTTTTTAGCCTACTAAACAAACTTTTTATAGCAATCATTAGCTGGTAAAGACTAACAACAATCATACATTTAAAATGCAGCAAACCCATGCAATTAAAGTCCACATATGGTAACCATGAAGAAACACGCAATACAGTCTCTATGCAGGAATGGAAGCCTATGGAACTCAGGGCTTGGGACAGTGCCCTGGGCTCCAGCACAGCGCTGTGAACCAGACATTAGCATCTCCGGACTCACTTTACCATCTGTAACTTTCTAGTGGGTCTCTTCATAATCAAACATTCCATTCACTGAGAAGATACAATTTATCCACACTTAACAGCATGACTCCAAGACAGAAAAAGCAAAATCAGAACTGCCAAGGAAAGTGGTGGAAAATTAGACACAAAGAACATGAGCAGTCTCTCCACAGCTGACAGAACAAGCAGACCAAATGGGGGAAAAAGTCAGTAAAACTTGAGCTAATGGACACACGCAGAACATCACAACCATCCTCTGAGAATACACAAGCACCTGAGGCACAGTTGGAATGTTTATAAATTTCAGACTTCCTAGGTTGAAAGACTAAAATCACAGAGAATGTTCTTTCAACATATGGTAATTAGGTTTGAAATCAGCAACAGATACCTAGGAAATCCCCACAAACTGACAACAAATTAAGGAATTCTCCCTCTCCCTCTCTCTCCAGTACTGGGGATTACATGTAGGGCATTGCACTGAGCTACATCCCAAGCCCCCAAGCTCCCTGCTTCCCTTATTTTATTTTTATTTTATTTTTAGACAGTGTCCTGCCAAGTCATTACATTGCCCAGGCTATGCGTGAACTTTTTTTTTTGTATGCTTGAACTTTTGACCCTCCTGCCTCAGCCTCTCAGAGTGCTGGGATTACAGGTATGTACCACTGCAGCTAGATAATTATTGTTCTTAATATTTTCTGTTGCTGGTGATCAAACCCAGGGCCTTGAGCTAGGCAAGCTCTCTGCCACTGAGCTACACCTCCAGCTAAGGAAATACTTATTACTAACCAGATATGTGAAAAAATCATAATGGATTAGAAAAATATACCACACAATTGACAAAAACACTAACATCAACATGCAGGGTGAGTGAGGCTGAGCTTAGAAGACATGAACAGGCTTCCATGCAAACCTTAGAAAACTGAAAGGCAACACTTAAGTACAGTATCCATCTACAGCAGCATCACAGTAGCCACATGTAGCTACTGGGCAACTAACACACAGCCAGGCAGAACTCAAGAGGTACAGCTAGTGAAAATATACACCAGAATTCAAAGCCACAGTATTTCTTAAAATTCAGTAATTTTTAATGACTACATGTTGAGATGACCTTATTTTTAATATAGTAGATTAAATAACATATCTAATTTATTTTCACCAGTTTCCTCTTACTTTAATTAATTACATATGTGGCTGTTTTATTTTTACTAGACAAAACTGATCTAAAGAATTTTAAGCCAGATGCAGTGGCACATGCCTATAATCCTAGCTACTTGGGAGGCTGAGGCAGAAGGATCATGTTCAAGGTCTCAAAAAACCTGAAGGGCCAGGGATGTAGGTAAGGGTCTAGTAGAGTGCTCTGGATTCAATCTCCAGTAACACACACACACACACACACACAAACACAGGGCAAAAAATGGAAAATAGAAAGCTAGTAAGGAAATTGTAAACAGTTCATGATACATTTTTAATAATTCAGATGAAATGGACAAATTCCTAAAATAAATCAAAAGTTACAAAATGGTCAGAAGATGAACCTGAATCATCTGGTAACAAAGAAAAGTGAATCAACTATTTAAAAACTTTCCCCTAAAAAAAACCTCCAGGCCTCAATGACTTCAACAAATTCTATCAAAACAGAAAATAACTACAATCTCAAACATCTCCCAAGAATGGAAGAAAAAACAAAATCCCAAGCAGTCCCTAACTTGTTTTATGAGGATAATCCAAACTTGGGTGAGGGGTGGGGCAGCACTGGGGACTGAACCCATGGCCTTGCCCAAGCACATCTTTCCTACATTCTGCAATCCTTGGGAAATCCGGGGGCATAATCTACATGCCCACCCTGGGGCTAGTCATAAATCTGATACTAACCCCTAACAAAGACATCTGGTAAATTCCAGGCCAATCTCATGAATCTGGATGTGAAATCTTCCACAAAATACTATCAAACCAACTCTAGCAATATCTTCATAACATATCATGGCAAGCTGGATTTATACCAGGAATGCAGGTTATTTTAACACCAGAAAATCAATAGTGCAATTCACCAGACATTAACAGCTAAAAGAGAAAAAAATGATTCACTCATGATAACATACAAGAGTATTCAATATCTAGTTATAAAAATTCCAGACAAGGGGCCGGGGATTTTAGCTCAGTGGTTCTGCCGCCTGCCTCACAAGCGCAGGACCCGAGTTCGATCCCCAGTATCCAAAAAAAAAAAAAATTCCAGACAAGACGGATGGGGGAGGGAAGGAGGGAGGGGAGAGGAAGGGAACTTAAAAAGAATTAAGATGTGTTATGTAAACATACCAGCTCCCCCTGATAAATGTAACTGTTACATACTGCAAACATGTACTAATAAAACTAAAAATTAAGGAATTCTACAAAACCCCATAGGAATTATCTTTTTTTTTTGGTACCTGGGATCGAACTCAGGTCCTTGAGCTTGCAAGGCAGGCAGCGGAACCACTGAGCTAAATCCCCGGCCTGGAATTATCTTTAATTGTGAAACCATAAAAGCTTTTTCTATGAGATTGGGAAGACAGCAGCCACTTCTTAATAACTGTATTATATAGTGTAATATAGTGTTTCGGCTTATATCTAGATGTCCCCCTCAAAGCCTCATGCATTCATAGATGGGACTCTTTCAGAGGTGGCTGGAACTAGAGTGCATTACCCTGAAATTGATGCATGGTACAATGCTAAGATCAAGGGCACTAGGGTTAAGGGTGTGAGGGCTACCCACCCTCAATAGCATGGATAAGATATAAGAGATAAACAGAGTTGTGGTTGTCCCTTATTGCTTTGCTACTTTCTACCTGACATGAACTGTTTCTCCTCTGTAATTCCTGTCTGCTGTGCCACCCTGCCTTAGAGCCAGCCAATTAGACTAAAATCTCTACAAACTGTGAGCTAAATAAACCTTTCCTCCCTTAACTTGTGGTTAATGGGTAGTTTATATCAACAAATAAAAAAAAGTAACCGACACAGAAGCTGGTATCAGGAGTAGGGTCATTGCCATAACTATACCTGAGCATTCAGTTCGGCAACCTTTGGGACTGGTTTGTGGGAAGAGTTTGGAAAGATTCAGAGACGCCAACTAAAAAAGCAGAGCTGGCATGCCTTAGGTGGTACTTGATGGGAGATTCTGGTCAGAGCTTAGAAGATCAGAAGGCTGACAGAAATCCTGCCAGTAAAGACCAGGCTCAGAAGGTTTCTATTGGGAAGAGGGACTGCATCGGCTGTTAGACTCCAGACAATGGGTGTTATACTTTGGCAGAAAGCATGTCTGCATTTTGCTCATGTCCAGAGACTTTGCCTAAGACTAAGATTAAGGGCAGCAGACTAATTAATCTTACAGAAGAAATTTCAAAACAGTCTAATGTTGAGGTGGTGACATGGCTACTGCTGGGGGCTTTTAGCCAGATTTATGTTGAGAATCAAGAGCAGAGTTCAGCAAAATTTAAAATGTTTTAAGTTTGGCCAAAAAAGAAGCTCCAGTAAAGTTGCAGTGTGCAAAGATGAAACAGAAGAAAAATTGGTCGCTATAAAGACTGGAAAAAAAAGCCAAGTATTTCAAAAGAAGACAACAACAACAGCAACAATAAAAAATGGCCTGAGGATATCACAAAAACCAACAGGACTCCAGCCTGGACAGTCTCAAAGTTACAAAGGCAAAAGACTTTGCACTAAAAAACAATCCCCAGAGCACCATATTCCAGAGTGGCAGCAGCCTAGAGAAGTTGTTCCAAAAGATTTAGCTCATAGGCACTTGACCCCTACAGCCAAGAGAAAAAGAAGCCTGGCTACTCCTCCAGCTGGCAGCAGATTTTGGCATCATATATGTAGTGGTTTTAGGTGCATATAGAATACAAGAGTTGTGGGGTCAATAAGGCTTCCATCTAGATTTCAAAAGAAGGCCTGAGAGGCCAGGCAGTGTGCCACTGAGAGGGCAGTGTATGAAGCTTTAAGTGTAAAGCCGAAGGTGCAGTAGAGACCCCAAAAGTTTAGAGAAGCCAAGAGTGTAGATCGTCTGAGTAAAACCATAAGGAAGGAGTAGAGCTTGCCCCAGAGAGAAGCCATGAGAGCTACCACCACTGGCAGTGCCATAGGAGCAGAGACACCCAAGTCCTTTAGGGTTCACAACTTGCCACAGATTGCTGGGGATGCTGAAAGTAAAACTGTTGAAATTTCATGTTTTCTCTGCTAGATTTTAGTCTTGCTTTGTTCCCATTTCTTGCTATCCTGTCTTGTGCCATTAAACGTTATAAAGTGTTTTTCTTTTCATTTATACAAGGGCTTACAGCTAAGAGTTTGCCTTAAATCTCAGAAGAGACTTTGGACTTAGATTTTTCAGCAATGCTGAAAATGTTAAGACTTTGGCAACTCTTAAGAAACAGATTAAATGCCTTTTACATAAAGGGATGTACATGAGTCTTTAGGGGCCAGGGGCAGAAGGTTATGGCTTGTGTCTAGATGTCCCCCTCAAAGACTCATGGTCATAGATGGGGCTTTTTCAGAGGTGGCTGGATCTAGAGTGCATGACCCTGAAATTGATTCATGGTATGATGCTAAGATCAAGGGTGCTAGGATTAAGGGTATGAGGGCTACCTGCATTGAGTAGCCTGGATAAGGTATGAGATAAAAAGAGTTGTGGTTGTCCCTTGTTGCTTTGCTACCTTCTGCCTGACATGAACTGTTTCTCCTTTGCAATTCCTTTCTGCTGTGCCACCCTGCCTTAGAGCCAGCCAATTATAGACTAAAACCTCTACAAACTGAGCTAAATAAACCTTTCCTCCCTTAACTTGTGGGTGTTGGGCATTTTATCTCAACAACAACAACAACACACATAGACCAAGTAAAAGAAAGGTAAAAGGATTTGAAAAGAAATACACTGTCAGTGATCAGAGCACAGTACATAACTGAGGATGTAGAAAATCCAACAGAATTTACAGTAGAGTAAGTTCTGCTAGACACATAAATCAACATTAAAAAAAGATTATTATAAAATGAAATTTTAAAAATCACCAATTATAGGAGTACCAAGAACTATCAAATACATAGAAATAAATCTGTAAAAAAAAAAATGTATTACCTCTCTAGAGAAAATTATAAATCTGAGACATAAAGACCTGTAGTTTGGAAGAGTTATTATTGTAAAAAAAGGTTAATTCATCTAAATAGATATATAAATTCAATGTGATGCCAATTAAAATCACACACATAGAGATCTTTTTCAACAGAATTGTTGATTCTGGGAAAAGCAGAATTGCTAATTCTAGAACTTACACACAAATGGAAAAGGCTAAGATTAAACAAGGTAGAAGAACTTGCTCTACAAGATATCAAGACTTTTACCAAAACAACATTAAAAGTGGCTGCTGGTACAAAGCCAAATGGTGTGTGTGTGTGTGTGTGTGTGTACACACACGCACAAACCCAGAAGTGGACCTATAGACACTGAACATTCCAGTGAATCTGGAAAATACGTATTTTTAAATAAAAGGTGCTGGAACAACTGGGAATCCAAATAAATAGCTAGAAAAAAAAATTTTAGATTAAAAAAAAAAAAATCAACTAGGAAAAAAAATCCCTAAAGATTTCCAATACAAAACACAATCACATATAAAGTATTAGAACTGCACCAGACCTCTTTACAGAACAATGGAATATGAAAGGCTGCAGAAGAGAATCTTCAAAATCCTGAGGGAAAATGACCTGCAGTTGAAAACTGTGCCCAGTTCACTGTCAATCATGTATGGAGGGTAGAATAACAATGTTTCATTCTGTTTTTTTGTGGTGCTGGGGATCCAACTCAGGGTCTTGTGCATGCCAGGCAAGTGTTTTACCATGGAGCCACATCTTCAGCCCTAAGACATCTCAGATGTCCAAGACCCTAAAAGATTTGCTGCCATACTACATCCTTTTTTATTTTTTTTGGGTACCGGGGATCAAACTCAGGACCTTGCGCTTGCAAGGCAGGCGCCGGAACCACTGAGCTAAATCCCTGGCCCTTTTTTTTTTTTTTTTGAGTCACACTACATCCTTTTAAAGAAAAATGGGGGGAAAAAAACAAACGAACAAACCAAGAGCAGTACTTAGTGGGAAGGAAAACATGTGAGCCTGGAAAAAGAGATCAACACAGATGACAGTGAAGGAAAGGTCCAACTTGGAAAGCAACCAGAATACCAAAAACTTGGAAATAAGTTCTACCTTCAGAGGAAAATGACCTGGCTAACCTGAATAAAACAACACAATGAACACAATGAATACAATGTAACTTGAACAAGTGAGAGGTATGAAGGCATATATACACACTAAAAGACTCAGCTCAAACACAAGGACCCGAGTTCGATCCCCAGTACCAAAAAAAAAAAAAAAAAAAA